TTGGAATATATACACATTAATGGTAATTTACTGAAATTCGATTCGTTTTTTTCTTTATTGCATTGTTATACAAAGAAAATTTAATTTTCGAACTCCAGACAACATTAAGTAGTCCTTCCTAGCCCTAATATTACTGATTCTCTATGCAATTCTTTAACACTCAAGCCAAATCGGTTATTAAAAAATAAAATATTTTCTTCAGATCGAGCTTGGCCGAGATTTTTTTGTTATTATTTTCGCATTTAATTGTTTGCTTATTGCTAAATTTACCAAAATATAGTTATATCTAAAGAAATACAGATTGAAAATCGAAGATTGTAAAAAAACAAGCAAACTAATTGTAACATGGCGCTTGATTTTCATGAGTCATTTGTGAAAAGTTGTTTTGCTTTCAAGAATTACTTAACAAATTCATAAGGTTTTAAATGGCTGCAAAAAGTTAAACGTCAAAGTTTGTTTATCTTTCGAAAGTTGCGCTGTGGGATCCAGGGTTCTTCCAGCTGGTTTTCTCCCGATATATTGGGAGCAGTTACTCAGACAGTTTACAACATTTCGCATTTCGAACAGCTGAAAGCACAATCGTTCCCGAAAAAGATCCCCTTCTTCCGGATGGTTATAGAAGTGCACCATCCAACGATGCAGGGATGTACGCTTGAATGAAATTTTCGAAGAGTTGATTATTTCGCCGGAAACCAGCTAATCTCCGCTAACTAACAGTTTCAGTGGTTTGCTGTGGGTTGTCATCTTTACGCAAGATCTTGAGAAGGCTGGTATGTTTTTTTTTTTTAATTTTTCGACAATGTTTTATGAATTTGAGGGCACCGCTCAGTTTGCTCTTCTCCGCCATGTGGTCAATCGTTGATGGTGTGCTGGTTCTTCTAGAAAAGTAAATTTAGCTGAAATCGACTTGAATTTTGCATCCTACTTCGTCTATCCTTCGAGATTTCCTTGTCATAAATTTGGGATTTATTAACTATGAGGAACCATCTTTTAAGCTCAATTTGTAAACAGAGTAATTGGGTGGTTAATGATGCACTTTAAAAAGCATGAACAGCAACAATAAATGCTTTTTGCTCTAATGCAAAACCTAATGGTTTTATGGTTGCTTTCATAATGAACACGTTTATAAAGTATTTTATCAAAACATTAATAAACAATTGCTAATGACGTTTATACTTGAATTACAGAACAGTTTTAAGAAGGGATTGATAACTGTTTTAAATTTATTTTTAAAACAAGAAGTCAAAGACTTTCTTGCCAGACTAGAAAAGATTTTTGTAACAGCAAAAAGCTGAATTACTAAGCAGGAATGTTTTACACTTTGAAATGTTATATTTAAACTAAATGATTTGTTCATTGCCGTTATAAAACCATCAGAAATCAGAGTGGATGCTAAATGGTTACTGAATTGTTACTTGGGAAGCGAACGCCTGGACAGTTGTGAGGAATAGCGGGTCGTTCGTGGGCTATCTGACCTCTGTCCCTTCACTTTTCAATCTCTCCATCTTACTATATATCCAAATCCAAACAATCCTTTCTCCATATTTCTGCCTGCATCTCCTTGTAGTATTTGCACTATTGAATTTGAAGTTAAAACATTTTCTTACTAACAAATTAATAATATTTTAATAATCCTACTAATCAACACCAAATAACTTATAAAAACGTGACAGTTCATTAAACAATTAGGCGCAAATTAAAAATCTTATAAATCTTGTTACAAAAGATTACAGTAGTAAACGAAATACGTATCTGATATTTTTTTAAGCTGTAGTGGACAAGAATCCTCGGCTCTGTAAAGTTAATTTGATTGAGCCTTATCAAATAAATTAATGAACAAAAAAATCACTTCGAAGGACTTTAATTATATAATATTTAAAATTATGATATATATAATTTCTATAACTACTTTAACATAATATTGAGCTCGATAATTTTTCAAAATATAATTGAGTATAACTTCTTTTAAAAAATACATAAAGATAATCTTTTCATAGCCAAACATTTGTCTCGTAATTTTTCAACAGTCTCTTGAAGATAACTTTCATAAAATAAATTAATTAAAAAAGTAAAACAGTTAAAAATGTTCTACGGCCTGTATAATACTCTTCGGGTTGCTATTATTCAACTTAAATTTGACGTGCTTCAAGTTAATGATCATACCTTTAGCCACTCATATGCTTAAGTGGTCCAGTAGGTATAGTTGACGCCTGTGAATCTGCGACTGCCGGTTCGAATCGCAAAATGCAAAAGTAATTTTTAGACTTATAATAGCAATATGAATATGTGAATTCAGTTAGTCAGCAATAACAAGGTAAATCAGTCCCATGAAAATATAAGATATGAATTGGTCCATTTTTTTTAATAAAACTAGAAGTCTGAACAACATACCTCGAGACAACCTCGAGTATTCGGTCCAGTTCCTTTAACTTTAAATATATGACAGTAATAATGTATAACAAAAGGGACAACTTGGCTCTGTAAAGTTTATTTGATTGAGCCTGTACAATTAAAGTAATCTTTAAAAAAAAAGTCTGAACAAGGTTTGAAAAATACTGTTATTTAATGCCTTAAAAAGCTTATAATTTATTTTAATGTTGAGCTTTCGGATGATTAAAATCACCAGATTTTGATGTTCATAAGCTAAACGTGGCCTATGTACAACAAAATTGTTACGAGGGTCTTGATCAGCAAAAAATATCAACGAGTTCTGCGCGGCAAAAGTTGCGTCCAGTTTAGAAGTTCTAAAATTTATCTCAAGACAATTGTTTAGAAATTTGAAATAATGAAAAACATAGCCAAAACACTGTTTTTTAGAAATACCCTAAGTGAATTAAGGATAATTGAGACTTTTTCCATAACATTTTTTCTCTAATCATTCAATTTCAGGCTCTAGATGCATCTTTCCTGCTAAATTTCCATTCTGGACCACTGTGTGACAAACAAGTTTTTTTCACTTTTTGTTTCCATGGATTGCTGATGCTGAATGCCATTTGCAAAGAGCATCTTCAAAAAGATATGAAGACTTCTAAAACCTTGAAATAGTAGAATATGTACTGGAACGATGCGTTCAAAAACACGAAAATTGACTGTCTGAAATCTCAGAAAAGGAACTTTGTCTAGGATAACCATCAGTCCCTTCCAATCCACAGACTCGACTCATACGATGAGCCTCGAAGTACTCGTTGGTGTTCTCCCACTGACAGATCGTTTCGCTGAGCTGTCTCATCCGTTGTGAAGTAATGAATCCTTTGGTAATAGAAAACTTTGAGAAGCTGCTCGACCGAAATCCTCAAATAAGATTCATGAGTTTGTACTATAAGTACATGACGCTGGAGGTTGATCCCAGCTCATTTATCTCCAATCGTGATTGCTTTCAAGTTCAATAGCTCCTCTGTAAATTTTGATCGGAGCATGATGCAAGAAATCCATCGGTCGATGGTTGTTCCCTCAATTTTTACAATCAAGTACCATCGTGTAAGTAACGATAAAAGTTTTTTCACAGATTGATCAACCATAAATGCTTCCACTGGATTTGGTGTATTTAATCAATTTCATAGCGCCTCCTATAAACTGCAAAAACCATGCTCGCAGCCATATTTTACTATTATGGTGTGTTCCAATTATGGCATATGGAAATTCCATAACATAGATAACACTGCGTTACAAATAAAAAAAAGAACTTTTTAACTGACTTATTGTAAGTTGTTAATCTAGTTGAGTACATCATGAAATCACATTTGAAATTGTTCGAAAACCCAATGTTGGTTGGCAGTCACTTTCTATAATTATTTTTTAACAAATTTCTTATTTTTATACGGGTTTGAAAAGCAAAAAAAAATCAGAGTTATTACTGAAATTCGTTGAGTTTTTTTTTTATTTAATTTGGAAGAAAACAGCATTTATTAAACTTCAGACACCATTAGTTTGTACTCCCTAGTCATAATTTCAGCGATTCTCTTTGAAATCTTGAGGCTTTCCCGAGCAGGAGAAAATAACGAATGAATACCCAATTCTGACCTGATACCAAAATTTGGTATTGACCAGCATGACATAAGAGGTAAAATACCAAAGAATAATACCAAAAAAATACACGTAAAATACTTGGTAAATAGCAAACATTGATATTTGGATACCAAAAGAATACCTGTGTGGTATTGTTTTGGTATTGCATTATCATAATTTGATATTGGAATAGTATTGTGGGAACATAGTTTTGGTATTATTTGTTGGTATTGTACCTCTTATGTCAGGCTCGTCCATACCAATTTAAGGTATCGAGATATTCGTTCCTGCTCGGGTTGTTAAACATTTCAGGCAGATCGGTCAACGGTAACCCATTTGAAGCTATTTTTATGAATTGAAGTTTAAAATTAATAAGGAATCACCATGTTTCAAGTTTTGTCGCTAGGTAAATTTGCTAACGTCCCAAACATCACCAAATTCAATTCCATAATAGTGAATTATATATATGCTCAACAACTTTGTCGGAGACTGGAGGACGACCCGAGTTGATCCTAAAATGTTATTTGCATATTTTTTGAAGCGATGTCTGACTAATCTTTATATTTATTCTTTCTAGGTCTCTTTCAAGTTTCATTCAAGTAGACATTTTTCTTAAAAGTTTAATTAGCAATATTTTTTTAAACCTCTGCAATTGACACATACACCTCATCAAGCATAATCTGATTAAGTTGAATTGGCAATTACCCACGGACAACTATTCAAAGCATTCAGAAGCATCCTCATTCGGTTAGAGAACATTCAATGTAGCTATTATCATGTTCACATAGGAAATCCTTCTCAAAGTCAACCTATCAAAATTCTGACGCGTCTCCAATTTGTGTAAGTTGAACTGCAAACCCAGGTAAGCCCTTGATCCAACCAAAAAAAAAAAAGACAGAAGAAAACTTCCCTACTAAAGCATTTCCTCTGAGTGTAAATCTCCCGAATCCGATACAAGCTACAGCTTTCTTTCACTCAAAACATGCGGTACTCACCTCTGTGTCGGTTGGTTTGTTTGTCGAACATCAGCATAGCGTCCTCAATCTGCAAAGAGACAAAAGAAAGAAAGAAACCAAGTTAAACAAACTCAGAACCACACAAATTCTCCACCCCTCAATCTCCCCTCTAAGTACGGCTCTTTGGAAAGAAGTGCAAGGATATGGGGGGGTCAACGGTCGTCGTCGTCGTCGTCGTGTTTGTGTTGTTACTTTCCATGTCCGACAACGACGAGGACACGAAGCTTAAAACTCCTGCCACGGATGCGATGTCCAGTGCAGGTAAGGATTCCATAAATTTTCCAGATCTTCAACTTCTAGCTTCGTTGCCGGGAATATGCGGGCTCCCTTGGAGTTACTGTACTTCCCATCACAGGGGAAAATAAAACAGAACGCTTGAGCTGAGATTTCCCCGGTCCTGGTCATCTAAGTTACACATTTTTAAGCCACTACTTACTGCAAAGAAAGCCAAGAATGGGAAACTTTCCACATTTTACACCCGCAGCGACGAACAGCAGCTAGATCCCGTCAGCAGACGCTTGCCCGAGCGCAATAGTTCTGACATATTCTCGCTTCTTTATTGCCAAGTTCGGGATTATGAACTTTAAGATTCCCTCCACTATGAAGTGGACTTAGCGAGGGAGGGCGGGATGAAATGTAAACGTTTCATTAATTTCAATTTCTCCCTTTGGGACTGCAGCGAGAGAAGTGGAAAATTTTCGATTTTCTATGATGAATCCACGGGGATACTCATCTTGCCATATTAAAAAAAAAGAGAGAAAAACGCAACCAGCAACTTCAGCACAATTTACTCTCGCTCCAGTTCTACAGCTGGCACCGGTTCTACTTGAACGACTTGTACTACTACTTCTACTACCTACTAGTGTTCGTCTGCTCCACTCAAAACTGATGGCGGCTTCTCTTTCTCCCGTTGCACTTGAGTTTTATTACGAGTTTGCTGATCTCAACCATATTTTCACGACCCCACTTTCGCCGTCAACCCTTCCAAGTCTGTCTGGCAGTGCGCTGTGCTCGATGCTGCTGCTGCTGCTGCTTGTTATATTCTGCTCTGCTTGCTTAATGCACCGCGATAGATGAGTGTTATTTCATTCGTTTGCTCCAACCAGCTTTCGACGGACGGAGATCTTTCACCAAGTGTATGAATAAGTTTCAGTTGCGGTAAAACTGAATGAGCTGGTATAAAGTTTTACGATGCTTAAATCTTTGGCCCCTCGTTTTAGATTTTTTTTTTTTCTTCTCATCTCTGCTCAGTCGAGAGCGACTGATGACGGCGGGAAAAAGACGAATATCAAGTGGATCCCAATGGAGTCGTGTTTTTCATTGGAAATGGAATTAGCGCGCCCCTCAGCAGGAGGACGGAGATGGGCAATGCCCTTGCAAAGATGGTTAATCCTTTGAAGAAGTAGTGAATGGGATGAATTGATGGGTCAAGATTGAAAAGAAAGATGTTTTTTATGGGATCGAGATGGTTATTGACTTTGAAGCAATTGCTATTGGTGGAATGCTAAAGCTCCGGTACTTTGTGAAGGCGTTTTTTCCGGAATGCTTTTTTAAACCACAATATCTTTACTAAATTCATCTTTGACTATGTTCACGAGTTGAATCAATTTGTTGGCAGTTGCATTTAACGTAATAACCCAATTTGATCAGCCACTTTTTGAAAATCGCTTCTAATGTTCTATGAAATCCATTAGGGAATAAATACCCCCCCCCCCCCAAAGCAAGGACCAAAGGGATATAGTCATATGAAAAATTGTCACCTCCATGTAGGCAAAGGGGGGACCAAAGGAAACAATTCCATGACAAAAGTACACATCTAATTATGCAAAAGGAGGGACCAGCGGAAAAAAAAATCATATGAATTAATTTCACCTCCATTTATGCAAAGATCATATGAATTATTTTGACCTCCAATTATGCAAAGGGGGGATCACTGGAAGAAATAAATATGAAAAATTCAAGCATATTATATTAATTACTAATATACTAATTCGCTTATTGTGTGCTCTCAACATTGTGTTCTAGATGCACTTCCACAGTTATTAATTGAGAACTTTCGATGCCTGTACCATTTTTGCATCAGTATCATTGTGTGGCATGTGCAATCATACTCTATGCGCAGACAAGTGGAAAAATTGTCCAACCCGGACCAAAAATCGAACCCACCCACCTCTATCATGGTCTTGCTTTATAGCTTAATGCAGAGCTGTAGATTATATTTTAATATATTTCTCGACAAAATATTCAAACCGAATAAATGATTCAGTAAACAATGCCTTCAAACGTCAATTTATCTAATAGCTCACCCACGCAAACTAACTACTTTGCCGAGATTTCTACGTTTAAAATCCACCTACGATAAACTTCATCATCCTAAATTTATCGCTTCCAATTTAAAAATCGACATTCCAAATTCACCCATCATGACCCACTGATTAGCGATTACGTTTAATCCACCGCTCGCCCCCAACTCTCCTAAATCACCCTAAATTAATCACAGTCCATCCTTCCTCAACTTCCCGCCCCCTCCCCCTCCCCCGGCTTCCGCTGCTCGCCAAATCCGTCGTCCATCTTGCCGCTAATCTCAAGTCACTTGTTTTCCAATCTGTCTTCCGGATCCGGAGCCTTTTCCGAAACTTGGTCCTCCTCACACGCTCGCTTTGTTTTGGCGCTTTTCTGCGCCCAAAGCTAGGAAAGATTTCCCATTCCTTCCGCTCGTACCCCGAAGAGATTGCTATCGAAAATCAACAAGTTTCACCATAAATCTTAATCCTCTGCCGTTGCTCCCGGCGCTGGAGGAACGCGTCGTGGTTTGCATGGGCCTTTTCATAATGAAAATATAAATTTTAACTCGGAATGACAAGTAACAGAACGATTCTGTCTGTTTTTGTTTTGTTTGGTATGCGAAGCAGCAAAACACCCTTTTTTCTATTTTCAATCAGAAATTGCGTTTTGTGTGTTGCCAAGTTTGTCTCGGCTCTGAACTGGGGCGGAAGAACAGGAGCAGTAGGAGGGGAGATGCTATAATTCACACCATCAAGATTTCTCCCCAAGCTGTGCCTAATGTGTCTAATTTTTCATTCGCTGCTTTATTCGGTGGCGGTCTTTAAGATTTGTTTCGGTGCAGCAAAATTGAAGTTACTGTTCTTGTTTTAGGAAAAATAAGTTGGTTTCGTTTCTCAACCTGCTTCTGAGTTTTTTTTTTATATAAAGGCATTTTTAATGATGTGCTAATATAAGTTAAATTGCCCTACTTCCACCCTTATGTATGATTTTTTCGGTTGGTAATATTTTAGACGCATTCCTCGAACCTACTCTTCCAATGAGGCAACATCAAACAACACTTTTGGCTGTGATGACTCCCCAAATATTCATCGATCCCAACGCAAAACAACCAGCCCCCAAGGGATCAAACCAAAACCTACCGTTTGGTTAGTATCGATTCCCCACGTGTATTCTTTGATATGCGAAAACCGAAAGCCTCCGAGAGGATAAAAGATTCCGAACAAATAAAACATTCTTCGATTCTGGAAAGCGCGTACCATCCAGCAGCATCCGTCTTTCAATATGCAAATTTTCGACTCTTTTCCGCCGATTTCTTGTCGGATCAATCGCTTCTGTGTTTCCTGCCGTCTAAGCCTCACTCCCACCCTCAAACCATCCGTCAGCTGTGAATGTAACGGAATGAAGGGCCGCACCCTCCCCATTTTCGGTTCCTTCCATCCTTCCGGAGATTCGGGTTTCACTCAAAGAAGGTTGTAATTTTTCCCACCATCAGAACGTCAACGGTAACAATCGGCATCGTAAAAAGTTGAGTCTAGCAGAAGCAGCAGGAGCAGATCTTCTGGTGAGGGGGATGGGGCAGAAATCCTGCAAATAAGTCACGATTCGCTATCAATATATCAATTGGATCAATAAAGCAAAAAAGCGCGCACGAGAGTCGACTTGCGCTGGAAGTCACGGTGAGACGTTGATGAGGGGGACGAGGTGGAACGTCTTCGCGCAAAAGGCACAAAATTAAAGTTGCAAGAAGGAAATAAATTTTCCATTTCAATGCGAACACAACGAGTGACGGCAACAGCTTCCACAATGTCCCAGCTGAATAAAGTGATTCTCACTTTGGCTTGAAATCGAACCGACAATCGGATCCAATTTGAATGTGAACGTGTGCGCCATCTATCCACTTTCCAGCTATGGTTGTTGTTGTTGTTGACGTTGGGAGAAACGGCAAGAAAATTGTCACTCCTTGAGATTTGCAGTGTCTGGCTAGCTGCGAACATTGTGAAAGTGAAGAGGAGGTTCGCTCAGAAAACGAAACAAATAAATAGGTCCCCCGAGGGCAGCTCAGACGGAGGTGACCCTACCATGGCTTGGTCGTAGATTCTTTGTCTTTGCTGAAGAATGGTCCTCCTTCATGAGAAGCGAGACGTTCGTCTTGGGAATGTCACACTAACTAACGGTATGGGTATTGCTCTGTTGAACGAAATTAAAAACTACATTTGCATTCAAATGTCACTTGCAATATAGTTTCAGAAGGACAGGGGCGATACTTGGGGATGAGTTTGTGGTTGCTACCTTTGCGATGGAAATGTTTTCCTAATCGAAGTATTTTGAAATGGCTTGTGGCATGCACCTGTAAGCAATGTAACTATTGAAGACTTCCACCCGTTGCCGGGACGGCCGTCTTTACTAGTTTGCCGGACTAGCTCACCAAATAATAAAACTCAGGGTCGGCACAAAACCACGCTAGGAAAAGACTCAAGGCGAAACACTCCAACTATCGTAAAGGAAACCACACTAGATCGATTTCTTTGGTGCATGCAAAAGATGTTCGCGACACAAGCAAATTAGATTGAATTTTAAACTTTTAAAAATTATTCAAAATGGAAGAAAGAAAGATATTACTAACCGCACCGAGCCTTCATTCCGGGTGGTGAGCGAACCTGAAGAAGAAGAAGAAGAAGACCATAAACCCCTTCTCGGAACGAGTGTTTTGTTAGTGGACCTGGTCTGCAATTCAAGGTTGGA